GTCATTTTTAAACGGCCGATTTTGAACGTTAAGGTTTCCAAACGTGTGCAAAGTTGGATTTTTACGAGGTTAACGTTCTTCAATTTGCGCTTTTAATTTTAATTTTTCCTCAACGCCCACGCGTCGTTCTTCTGTTATACTTTCGTAAAAAATCTTTCGAAGTCTTCATCTCAAAATGGCATACGTAAAATTGTCGCAAGTTCTCCCACCATCAGCGAAGATTTTGTTTGAAGTTCTCCCGGATCGGTTATCTTTCCAGCAACTTCTTTGACGAACTCTGACTTGGTTCGTAGCAAATGGATTACAACGGTACCGCGGGGTTTTTCTAGATTAAAATTGAAGCTCTGACCTCTAATTTAAGGACTCCCGGTGTCGCCCGAATAATTATCCGACGGGTTTGTGAAATCTCTTTGCCCCGAGGAATCTTGGATTCCCGTTTCTCGATTTCCTTATTCTCTTTGATACAAATGGGTTACGATTCAGTTTCCCAGGTTTTCCCTATGTTGAAAGTGAACCGCTAACGCGCCAATCCGATGACAGAGTCTCGTTACTCGCTTATGGTAACGACCGACCATAGGAACTTCCGCGGGCGATGGAGCTTCGTTATTCTACGTTTTCGTTACTCTGTTCGAGCCGAAAAATGAAACGATACTCGAGTGAAGTAAATCGTTGAAGACGATAGTCTGCTTGAACTTTAAAGAGGGTCCTTAAAAATTGCAGCAACTATACGTGAGTCACTGCAACAAACAACGATTGGTCTGTTTATTAGTCTTCGGGCTCTCGGGTTAAGTTTTTATACGATGAAAAGAACGTCGACAGCGGTCCCAACATTGTTTTCGATACTCAGGTATTTCCTTTGTCTCGTTCAATCCGAGCGAGGTGTTCCGAAGATCGAGGTGTATCGGAATGTCTATTTTTATATCACTTGGCGTAAAAATGAAAACAACTTAGAGCTTCGTGAAAACGTTGAATACACGAAATTTACCTCTTTTATAGAGAACTGCTGGAAGCATTCTTAATCAACTAAAAATCTAGAAAAAATGTATAGGGCACTTAAGCTATACTTAAGCGTATCTCTAAAGGATGGGATACACATTTAAAAATCAGAGGTTTCTTGGAAAAAGTTTATTTTCATATAGACTATCGTAAAACTGTTACAATCGTGGAATGTTTTGTACATTTAAGAAGAGGAATATTCTCCGTTAGCTATTTCTATCACGTCGCAATAAACGGACGAACAAATAAATAAATAAATAAATACTCAAAAATATTAAATAAACGAATAAATATTATTATAAGTAGAGGAGAATAAATATCGTGTCTATCACATTGTTTGTCAACAGAACGGAGGCGTTCTATAAATACTTGGAGGTACTAGCTTATTACATAACATTGAGCATTGAGCAAATTGAAATTTCCCGTGTCTGGACGTCACCGAGCGTAAAGCAAACGTGTTTCTTGGTTTATTTATGGATTTAACATTGTAATTGATCCTCGACCGCGTTACACCATCCAACTAATCGCGAATAATGAGCATCGATGATGCGAGCTGTCTCCATTCGTGCGTAAGTTACACTCTCGACCAAAGTTGTTAACTGAAAATGCAAATCGCTGTTTAAAAAAAGAACGGTAAGGATGGCGTACGCAATTTTGTTGCCAAACTCGCGACGATCCAGACGTTTCTTCGAGGGCTCAAAGTTGAGTCTTACCAACTACGCAAATTAAAACTAAACGTTTCCAACTGACCATTCAACGTTACAACGCAACGAGTTTTAATACTTTTCAAATAAATAAAATCACTGAGAAAACGGGTACGGTGATCGCGGTGTAAAGTACCCATCGAGATCAAAATTTTCTCTACAGACGCGTCAAGTATAATTTGATTCTTCAATTAAATATAATATCACGAACTGTTTTAGATCACGAACGAAGTTATACTTTACGCGTAAAATGTCGATATGAGTCGAACACAACGTGAGCTTAATCGAAATAGGAAAACAGATACGCGTGTATCTTTTAAATAAGGACTACCGAAGGCACAGGTGCTCGAATCTTAACGTACGCTGGCATACGCGAGATCCGAGAAGTTCAACTACTCAAATCTGACAAAGAAATCCCCAGATTCATATCCGAAATGATTCCACACACGCAGCCAGTGAGTAGCTTGATGGTGTAGTACTTATTCTTCGAAGCGTTGTCGTCGTCGCGTTTTACCTTGATGTCCCTATACGTTTGAACACAATGATACGGAGGCTCGTGGCACTCGCTACCCTGATCGTGGCACCTAATATGTTTCAAATGTTCCGAGATTGGTTTACCGTTCCTGTCCTCGACTGGCTCGATGGTATAATTGCAAATCGAGTATCTCTGCATCTCCTCCGCCGTCTTCTCGTAGTTCTTCTTCGTGTCGAGCCAGAGTTTGTCCGCCGCGTGGAACGTCACCTTTCGACTCCTCTTCTCGGTCTTTGATTTCGAGACGTCGATGGGATGTCGCTTGGTCCTCGTCGCGAAAGCTCCGTCGTCCCATTCGGTTTCGTTTTCAGGAACTTGGAAACGGTGTCGCCAGGGTCTCGAATCCCTGACGCGATATCCCTGATCCTCTTCGCGGCTATCGTCGATCTGCCTCGAAGGGTCCAGCGTCCTCCAGTGACGATGCTCCTCCGATCGACGCGAAGGCAACACTCGTGGCATCGAGTCCTCTAGGTCGTAGTCGTTCCAACGCTGACGATGCGGATGGTGTCTCCACGACAACCTCCTGGCGTTGGCCACGTCCGTGGTAAAGTCGGTCAGCACCCCGGAGAGAAGGATCACCGCGACGATACACAGCGACATCGTAATTTCACGGAGCACCCGAAGCTTTTCTCTAGCGTTCGCCTTCACCTTTCTTCGTTCCCCTCCTCCCTTCGCTTCGGTTCCTTGTTTAACAAAGTTTCCCGATACAAAGGGACAATAATTGCTCGGAGCTTCGTTCGACACCGCTCGGTCCTCTCTCCGCTTCGTTGTGAATAGACCGGCCCTTCTTGCGATCTTAAAATACCTTAAGACCCTGAATGGGCTCGGTTGGCTCTCGTCTACGTATACAATTGAAATCGAAACACCGAGACACGCCTCGACAACGCCAAACGAACTCGGCAATTACGGTAAGAAACAGTCACCGGTCGTTGCTTCGACGAGATGGTTCGGTCGAGATCCTTTCTTTTAGATCGCCGAGAATCCTCGTCCTGGCTGTCTCTGATCGTACGTGTCCCCGTGACTCTGTCGCGATTGCAAACCGTCGATTCTTAGCTGAAATTCGGCAGGAACGATATTCCGTTTGAGGCTGAGCGACGTATAACTAGCTGTCGCGAGTACGGACTATCAGGACTATCGGAAGTCCCAAATCCTCTCGACCACCGGTACTTTGGGAAGTCTTTGACTCGGTGGTGTTCAAGACTTGCTCGTTACGGTTGAGTGGTTTGCTGAAAACTGAATGTCCAGTGGTGCCCGAAGGATATTTTATCCTTTTGCGCGGCTGAACCGTAGGTGGTTGCCCCACTTCAACGGGTGTCCGCGCGTGGCTGATCCCCCCTCGTTCAGGGCCCTGAATTCCCATCGTGGATGCTTCCTTCGCGACCACGGATAGGCGTCCTGGTGTTTGACGTCACCGGGCCCCGTTTCCTCCTGCGCGCGTTCCCTTAAAATGTTGCAATTTAACGTCGATTAACCAGGCTCGGACGTCACCACGTCTCCATCCGCGGAGGAAGAAAAATGGCCGGTGTGTCGCGCACCGGAGTTCGCGGAATACAGACGCATTCAGCGGTACGTTATCCTTCTAGTCCAAAATGACTATCGGTTATCCAAAGTACGACCAATGGGAATCCATCGAAAAGCCGAAAATCCATTGCTGTTTATTAATATTTCATTGCAAATGAATAATCAACTAACGTTACAAATGTCTTTAAATTTCTGGAAAAACGAATTCTAAATTTCTAATTTGTATTTTTGAAACTAAACGTCCTATGAATAAGCTGTGATTATACAAAAATTTCGTCTTGTCATTCTCTAGAAGGTGATATATGTATAAAAAAAAATTCGATTTAGCGCGGCGCCCATTAGGGTTAATTTTCAGTCAGGTACCGTGCCCGAATAAGGATTTCGACGAATTCTGATCGTGATTCCGCGCAGGGGAAGGCCTGAACGATTGATATTCGCGTTACTCGCGGTAGTCGGCCTGCGCAACTCCTTTCCCCGCTGGCATTTACGCACGCGGCACATTTCTCCGAGCAGGTCCTCTCGCTTACGCAGTCATGATCACGGAGAGATTCCATCCGACGTCGCGTGTCGCCTCGGATAACGACCGTTGGAGATGGTGAATCCAAGTGCCGCTGGACGCGCGTCATTCGCGCGAGTCAGATTCCTGGAGGGAACATTTGTCTCGCCCTCGTTTTCTTGCGCAAGCCATCCTTCTCACGGGACTTATTGAATGACTCGTGCGCAGCCTCATCGCTCGTACGCGTGACCGTCTTCTCGTTTTGCTTTTTCGCGTCAAAGCACGCGTTCGATGACTCAAGAACTCCTGGTACTCCCCCGGTTCGCGAAGGTCGGCAAAAGGGAAAAATCGACCACGGGAATCCATTACTACCACGTAGATCTGTAAACGCGCGAAATTTTACTCGCGTCTTTAGTCATCGAATAGATATACTTATCAGCTGTAGGCGCAAGTTATTGAGCTGATACGCGTAATTATCCGACGCTTCTTCTTCCTACCGTTCTGTCACTTAAAATTACCGTTTATCGTTTCATTTTTGTTTTCAATACAATTTTTTCAGGAGGATGTTCGTCAAGGTGCGTATCGATAATCGTATTCACTTGTGCCGTGTCATGGTCTACCACTTAGCGGAAGGATTCCTCTAATTTTCGTGAATCATGCGCGAGAATCATTGCCCTTTGATTAAGATTTAGATTTCGAAGATCGAGCGTTACTCACTGGGAACCGTACGTCCGTTGAGGAGGATCAGGAAGATGTATCAGGCAATCGAGATTCGTAACTTGTTGTTTTATTTGAATCATACATGAGTCAATCGTTAACCGAATCTAGACAAAATCCTGTCGATCCTTGAAACTTTTTAGGACCATTTGCTATACACAAGTGTTGAGTTACGTTTATTTTTAGTAACGATATTAAATATCATAAAAAAAATGTACACAAACAACAACAGTGAGACGAGAATATACATTTTGTTAACTCATGCAAACAGTTCTGGCGGCAGGCTGCTCCTGGTCGGAAAGCTCGCGTGTGTACCGAATTTCATGACTGATTCCGTGGCAATCGCGCAAGATCTTCGGATGCACTCGTCCATCGAAAGTTCTGAGTGATACGCTTTAAAGTACGCAAGAGCGCCTAGAAATGCGTCTCCGGCTCCCTGCGCATACAAATTCCATTATTGTCTAATAATTTATCGGTATTAAAAGCTAGTAGCTAGTTTTAGCAAAATGAACATTTCTCCTTAGAAAACTATCGTCTAAAATTCCTTTACACGTTGACCAGCGTAAACGTACTGTCGTATCCACGGCCTGAACACGCCTAGCAGGAATTAGCGTGATAGCTCTGTTTTCGCGAGACGCGTACACTGCCCCCAATTCTCCCATGGTGAGGATCACCGTATTGCAACCCTTATCCAAAAGCTTCTCGACGGCCTCTTGCGCGTTTGACAGTCCCAGTAGTCGCACCCCGGTCATGACTTCGGCCTGCAAACGTGCGCGTCAAAGTTTTCGGTATTTTCAACAAGTTTGACGATGAAATCGGTATACCTCGCTCTCGTTAACGCAAAATATATCGCACAACGACAATAGCTCGATGTCAACGTTCTTCACGGCAGGCGCCCCATTCAAGATCGACAGACCTATCGTATTTAATTTTATGTAGATAACTCTGTCGTCGTTAAACATAACGTTACCAGACCGAACTAACCGTGACCTTTACGGAGCTTTAAAGCGTATCGGGTAGTCTCTAGATTCGTCTCGAATTGGCATAGTAAAACGGCAGCACCTTTGATAGTCTCTGCTGCGATGTCCACGTGTTTAGAGCTCAACGACGCGTTCGATCCTAATACCACTACTATGCTATTTTCGCCTAAAATAGATACGTGTGAAGGATTTTCTACGATTAACTTTATGTTTATGCATAATTTAACAAAGGTAAGAATGGTAAGTAGTCGAATTAGGGTAATCTAGATATCGATGTTTTTTTATAGATTCGTTGTAACTCGTCGTAGTGGATGACTTATCTTATATCGTTCTAAATATTTAACTTATTTCATTTTAATAAATACCACATTTCTACATTTTAAAATAAGAAAATCGAAGTGAATATATTAATTAATCAAAAGTCATTACCTACCATTATCAGCAACAGTAATATGTGCTATTCCACTGTGTTGATCCTTTTGTATGTGAACGTGAGAAGTGTCTATGTTTTCCTTCTTAAATATTTTTAAATATTCTTGTGCATAAGTATCAGAACCCAACTATATTAAAAATGCATTAAAATAGAAAACATATTTCACATTCTTAGTGACGGATATCTTTCTATATAAGCCTAGCAATTCTATTTAATAAAAGTTATTATGCATGTAATTTCTATACAAGAATAAAGGAAACAAGAAAATCATACTGAAGCAACCATCGCTGTAGAGGCACCGAGCTTGCCAGCAACCATACATTGGTTTGCACCTTTGCCGCCATACTTTATTTCATATTTAGTGCCAATTATGGTTTCACCAGGTTTTGGCAAATGAGGAGAAAAGCTAAAACATAAACATATATCTTTATCCTAGTAAAACAAATAATTTTTATTCAATTAAGTATCTTTCGAAGAACACCATATGCATGTCAAGATACGATGCTACGTACAACTCCTATTTCATATTCTTCTTATACTATATATTTTTCTGACAATAATCGTATTTACTTTACAATTAGCTGAATGATTTGGATGATATTTTGTATATAATTTATGCACAGAATGGTAAAACAATTTTTGTTTTTATTTATAATATGTATTATATACACTCACCAAGTAAAATCAATCATACAGGAACCAACAATAACAATTTTTGAAGACATTTTTTAATGCTATACAATATTCAAAATTTTTAAACCGAAAACTTTTGAGAGGTTAAGTAACCAACAACTTTTGCAAAGGAATTATTTCTCTTAGCGGAGCAACGTTTAAAACAGTCTGACTACAACAGATTACAACATGCTATCTGGTGTTATCACAACTATCGCATGAAGTAAATAATCCACGAAGTGATAAATGATTTGTTTACTATGCATTTAACCTAACTAATATAAACAGGTATACATACGACGAAGGAGAACAAACTTACAGTTGAAGTAGCAAAATAGTTTCACAATCAAAATAATAATAATGTGGATTATTAATATTAAAAAGAACTATTATTTTCAATCATTTTATTTCAAAAATACACATTGTGTTACATTGCATAAACAAACGTGTTATCGCGATATACGTATACAATACAAAAAGTATAATTAATATGTATACTTCAAAACCTGCAATCACATATCCAATCGTGGAAAATAACAAAAAACTCAAAAAAAACTAAAAAATCATCTAATAAATCATTGACATATAGCCATAGATAAGATAGACGTTTCATTACAGGAATTACACCACTGAAAACTATATACAACTGAAGTTTGTTTGAGGGTTCGGCGCCCTCTTCTCAATTATAAATTGTTTTCTAGTTGTACCAAGGACCATTCTTGTATGATTTTCATAGTAATTAAATAATTATCAAGAGTTTTTTACGTGCGATTATATTATACACTGATATTAAGTAATATTATAAATGCAGTTTAAACGTCTCTGGTTTCCCGAAAAATCACAAATGTGACGGTGGCGCCATCGGTGGTAAAACGCCCAAGCTTGTAATGAATGTAGTTCCTATTATTTCTGCTAGATGG